AGATTTAATTTAAATGAGGAATTCATAAAAGGTTTCCTTAATGACATAATGAAGAAGGCAGATAAGGAATATGTTAATGGTGAATTAATGAAGAAGGCAAATTTGGTTTATGTTGATGAAAAAGATAATGAAATTAAAGAAAAGGTTGAATGGTATCATGAATGGGCATCAAATATTTTTAAAACTAAAGCTGATACAGGATGGGTTTCAGGATGTTTAGACCTTAAAGCAGATAAGGAATATGTTAATGGTGAATTAATGAAGAAGGCAAATTTGGTTTATGTTGATGAAATATACCAAAGTTTGATAGGAACAACAAAAAATATTGAAACTATTGTTGGTGACTTTTCTGTCAATGAAGAAAATAAATATTTTAGATGGCAGTTTGTACAGTCCTTAAAAAATGGTACACGGTGTAAACTCATTCCGAAAAATAACAATGAAATGTATGTAAGCTATAAAAAGAATGATGGTACACAAGTTAAAGTTCCGTTAGACAACAACTGCTACTTAAACTTATATGGAGACGAACAAAAGAAATATATAAGAGTTTATGAAATGGCAGATATGACATTGCCTAACCCAGCTCCAGCACCATATTATTATGACTATGGAGATAACAATAGAACACCACGTGTAGATGAACAAAAGCTAACATTATATTTAGATTATTATAGATATAAAAGATATAATGCAATAGAAAAAACGAGAATAGTATATTATTATACAGATGACAGAAATAAATATTATAGTCAAGATTTTACCTACCCTGAAAACATGAGATTATATTATAAAAAATATTCTGACACAAACCAGAAGAAACCTGAAATAGTTGCACTATATTTTAAGTTCAAAAGAGACAATCCTATATTATCTCATATGTTTGATTTAATGAACCCAGTAGGTTCTATTTATACATCTATGGATGCAAGAGGTCCTCAAGTAATGTTTGGTGTTGGTGCATGGGAACAAATAGTCGACAGGTTTTTGTATTGTGCAAACTCTTCAAAGGAAACAGGTGGAAGTAAAACAATTACAGGCGAAAATTTACCTGCACACAGTCACTACATAGATTTAAGCACATCTCAAGCAGGTTGGCATAAGCATAGATATTGGGATTGGTTAGGAATGACAAAAGGTAAAGGATATGATGTTAAAGACGACGTTAAGTTTGCTATAAATTGCTACTGGAGTGACACTCAGGGAGAAGGAAACCATACACATTTCGTTTCAGGATATACACAAACAACGGGACAAAGTAAAGAATACATGCCACCTTACATGACAGTTTACGCATGGTATAGAGTTCAATGAACGCTCAATGTTTGTAAAAAAACTTTAGAACGGACTGAAAGTCCTGAGCTCCAAAAGAGCGAACGGAAAAATTTAAATTTTTATTTTTAGTATAAATGAAGATTCTACCATATGGTGTTATTGGAAGAGATAAAGATGGAAACCCAATATTTGATCCAAAGTTAAAATTAAAGTTACTGACAAGACAACAACTTGAAAAGTTGCTGAAACCAAAACAGGATGAGAAAATGAGAAAGAGAAAAATTTAAATTTTTATTTTTATCATAAATGACAAAATTAATTAAACCAACTATTTCTAAATTAATGATACCAATGAAATCATTTCATGGAGTACTTATCCCAGGTTCTTCACAATTAGCCGGGGCAAGTGTTGTGACTCAAGGTGGAACATTAGCGAATCCATTTAAATTATTAACTAAAGATGAACTTAATAAAATGATAACAAAATTTTATTTCAGTGCTACCGGGTCACCAGGTCACCGGGTCACCGGGTCACCAGGTAATTTAACTTCTTTTAAAAAATGAGACAACATGACATTTTGACAACATCACTGGAGGAAGGCGATAATAAAGTTAGTTTTAAAATTATTTTTATTTTTTTATTTTGTATGTAAGAACAGAAATGTCAGTCGAAGCACAGACGTTCACAAACAAATCTAATGGTGAAACATTCACAAAAGGCAGTTATAATGGTATTGAAGTCTTACGTAGAGACAAGGATGGTTACATTAATGCAACAAAGATGGCAAGAGAAGCGGGAAGGTTAAACCATTTAAACAGATTTCTCAATAGTACTAAAATGCAGGAAATTCTTAAGTTTTGGATGAACGAATACGGTCGAGCCAAAAGTGGCTCAACCTCAAAACAAGCATTTTATGAGCTTACTAAGGGTGTTATAAATGAATTCAAAGGTATTTACATATATCCTGACCTAGTTCATTTTGTTGCTGAATGGTGCTCAGTAAAGTATGCATTTTATGTCAAAGATATTATGAACTCCATAGACAAGAAAGTTCATAAGAAATTAGATGAAGAAGAACTCGAAGATACAGTAGAGAATGCTAAACATTTGTTTGAAGAAGAAGTTGGAAAAATGTGCGAAAAACAATTAGAACATGAACATGAGATATGTTATGGTTATAGAGATTCTTCATACGAACTAGACCAATGGGAACAAGAAGATTTAAAGAGAGAATTTAGAGAATATGAACTCGCTAAGATAGCATTTGAAGCTGCAGAAAAGAAGTTAAAAGTTTGGGGTCGTTTTGTACAAAAATATTGTGAGTAAATGAACCATTTATTTTTATCATAAACGACTGGAAATATGTTTTATCGTTAATGTTTACGTTAATGGTTTCAGGTTATTCAATAATTAATTATTTTTGAATAACTGATGGGGTCACCGGGTCACCAGGTCACCAGGTAATTTAACTTCTCTGAAAAAATGAGACAACATGACATTTTGACAACAGTCCTGGAAATATGTTTTATCGTTAATGTTTATGTTAATGGTTTCAGGTTATTCAATAATTAATTATTTTTGAATAACTGATGGGGTCACCAGGTCACCAGGTAATTTAACTTCTCTGAAAAAATGAGACAACATGACATTTTGACAACAGTCCTGGAAATATGATGCAGTCCAAAAATAAAGTTAGTTTTAAAATTATTTTTATTTTTTTATTCCTATATAAATGACGGCAACAAACAACAACAGCAACTTTATCGTTTCTGATAAAAAAGTTATTGATTCATTAGTTGAGGAATTAGTTGTGGCAGAAACTAAAACCCTCAACGAAAGAATTGGTGAAAACATGATTGATTTACATAACTACCTCAAACATGATGGAGGAAGAGGAAGGAAAACTGGTACGGCTTTATTAGTAAATAAAATATCAAATTTAACGATTATAGATGTTGATATCAATAAATCGTACAATGATGAACTTAAAGAAACAGTTAGAAAAGACATTCTATCAAAACTTTCAGATAAAGATGTTATCGTTAAAACCGCTTCAGGAGGTCTTCACATTTATTGCAACACTAATTTCTTCTATGCAGTTTCGAACAGAATGATTAAATGTTATTCCTGCAATGATTACGATATTGACATAATGACTTCTATGGATGATTCAAAGCGTTCATTAGTGGTTATGGCTGATTCAAGAGTTCGCAAGAATGCAACAGAACCACAATACATACTCATTCATTCGTGGAAGTTACGATTCAACATTAACTAGAACAGTGAATGATATATTAAATGATTTGAATATTAAGGTAAGAGTTGAACAGAAGAATGAAGAAATAAAGAGTATAATGAATGAAAACAAAGATGTAAACATTGACGATAAACTTGCCCAGAGCATAGTTGATGGCATCAGTGATTTTGAAGTACATAATGACGGTGGAAACATGAATTTAGAAAAAGAAGTTACATTATTCACACTGTTTCAAGCAATTAATTCGTTACCTAATCATTTAATTAATGAAGCATACGATAACGTTTATAACTTCTGCAGTTTAACAGAAAATGCAAAAAGTAATTTTGATAAAGCACGTAATAGATATGCACATTTAATGACTTCTCCATTTGTTTTGGTGAAGATTCTAAAACTATATCAAAAGGAATATTATGATGAATATGTTTTGCCTTTATTACGTAAGCCAAAAATAACATTTGATATAAAACTTGATGACTCGTTTTTGATAACAGATATTAGACGCAAGGCTGAAAATCATCAGTATAAAAACAGTTCTGAAGTAATTGAGGATTTATCACGTGTAATCCGTTTTGTAGATTGTGGAAATAAATACTTCATTCAAAAGGACTATAATATCCACGACAAAATGAATCAAATATCATTCGTTCTTCAATCAAACATGAAAGAGTCACTCAAAATGATTAAATTATTTAAAGAAGAAGGTAAAACCATAACAGCATGGGATGTACTACTAAATCAATTGTCTTCATTAACCGTTAAGGTGTTTGCTTTAAATCTGATTCCCCAGATGTTTTCTCAACGTTTCAAGGTTATAAATACAACATTCTCGAAAAACCAGATTACTCAAAAATTGAGATGTTTATGAATTTCATTAAAGAAGCCGTTTGTGATAATAACGATGAAGTGTATAAATACCTACTCGGCTGAATTGCATCAATGATTCAACATCCTGGAATCAAGAATGAAACAGCAATTATTTTGAAAGGACTTCAGGGAATAGGTAAAAACAGATTTACAGACATTATTTCTGAACTTCTCGCCGGTTATTCATGCAAAAACATTACTGAAATAAGTGAGCTAACAGGTAATTTCAATTCAGTAGTTGAGAATAAAATGTTTCTTGTACTTAATGAACTCAAGAATGTTGGTGAAGACAAACTCGCAAACTTCAACGCTTTGAAATCAATTATTACGGATAATGAGATTAGAATTAATGAAAAGAATCAACCCAGAAGAACTGCTCAGAACGTTGCAAACTTCATTTTCGTAACTAATAACGTTTACCCTGTCAAAATTGAAGTTGGAGACAGAAGATATGTAGTTTTAAGAGTTAATGGTAAATTCAAGGGTCAATTTGATTACTTCAAGAATTTGATGAATTCATGCACTAAGGAATTTTATGATAATTTACTGACGTATTTTATCAATTACGACCTTTCATCATTTAATGTACGAATCATACCGATGACTGAAGCCAAACAAGATTTAATTGAATTATCAACAAATCCTTTAGATGTATGGATAAATACACATTATGATGAATTGTGCGCAGGTATGAAGTGTAAAAATGCGCTATTCTGCAAACCATCAGACATGAAAGACAAAAACTTTCAAATGAGCATTAAGGATAAATGTGATAGGAAACAAAGAAAAATAGATGGTAAACAGACATGGTATTATGTTTTGAAAGAAGAAATGAAAGGATTATATAAACAGGTTGAACCAAACGATAATGAGGATTCATTTACTGACGATGAAATACCTGTAAATGAAGCTTTATAAAGTATGATTTGAATTTATTTTTGCATTAATTCCCCTATGTTGTCAAAATGTCATGTTGTCTCATTTTTTCAGAGAAGTTAAATTACCTGGTGACCTGGTGACCTGGTGACCCCATCAGTTATTCAAAAATAATTAATAAATACCTTCCTCATTAATGTTTTCAGGTTCTTCAATAATGCTTCATAAGTACCTCTCCCTATGTTGTTGTCAAAATGTCATGTTGTCTCATTTTTTCAGAGAAGTTAAATTACCTGGTGACCTGGTGACCCCATCAGTTATTCAAAAATAATTAATTATTGAATAACCTGAAAACATTAACGATAAAATAACTGATAACAAAATTTAATTTTTATATAAATGGATACCCCACAAGCTCAAAATTTACCACGAATCATAACAAGGGAGGAAATGATAAAAATGATGCAAGAACAAATTAAAAACAACAAACCACGAAAACTGAGAAGATGAGGAATAAAAATTAAATTTGGATTGAGTTTAAAAATTCATCTTTATTAAATTCATCTCTTCCAATCAATTTATTTATTCTATTAAATTCTTTTATTTTTGCTTCACTCAGTTTAAGGATTGAACGATAAGTTTCTAATTTTTCGATTATTTCTTTCCTCTCTTTATCGTTTTCAGCCCCACCACATTGCTGCTTCTTTTTGCAATAGCATATTTTTGATTTAATTTTGTTTAGTTTCTTTTTATATTCATCATCTAGACTCTTGGCAGCTTCATTGTCACTCATTTCTTACGAAATAAAAAAAAATTAAATATTATTTAAATATAATGGAGTAATAAAATAAATCGGAATTTCTATTAATTTATTGTCAACTTCAACTAATACATTGCCGTTAATGTATCTAACAAATTCAGCTATTGTGTCAAATCTTCGTCTTCTTTTTGTCATTGATTTATCAGTTTTTCCATAATCGAGATGAATCAAAACTTTATCCCCTTGTTTAAAATTCATGAGCCCCGAATTAATTTGTTCACGTTTAACATCATTCAACCTTTCCATTTGCTTTCTAATATATTCCCATTCTTTTGAAATATCATTTTTCATTTCCACTGGTTTCATGTTTATAGTTCTATGCCATGTATTATTGTAATAATATACTAACTGTTGTATGATGGAGTCATGATTTCCATCCCAGTATATCTGACCGTTAACCCCTAACGCATCTCTAAGAGTTCTCATTACCGCATCAACTATTTTATTATGAAACGTATATGGAGAGGATGAAAAGAAAAAATTAATTTGTGGGAAATAATGAGCCATAGCTGCCTGAAATCCTTTATCACCATCACCCCTGATATTATCTACTCTTTCATGATCTAGTAAGTATTGTATAGCTCTTCTTGTTTCCTGTTCTGTTTTCCCTTTCACCGGAATGCAATATAAATATCTAGTGTTAATGTTAATGGCAAATAAATAAGTAACGTTTCCTTTTGAATATTCTAAATGATCTATTTCGTATGAATATGGATATGGAGCAAATGAAGGGCGACTAAATTTTTCCTTTAACGGTTGAATTTTCGGGTCAATTGGTTTATTTAATATCTTGAAATCCTTTTTAAAATCTTTTTGCTTCTTTAATGTTTGAAATGGATATAATAAAGTGAATGATGAAGGATTAACTGAAGGAGGAGGTACTGTCGTTGGAGGTTTTGGTGTTGCAAGTGTTTTAATTTTATCTGCTTTGATTTTGGATGATGAAGTTTTAGTTGTTGATTTTCCTTTCATTAATTCTGGATGTATTCTATTCATTTGTTTTAAATATGCTGTATATAAAGGTTTGATATACTTTCCCGCTTCGAGTTTATGTTGAAGGATGAATTCCAAAAGTTGATCTTCATTTAAAAGTCGGGCTGAACATGGTTTAACTAATGAATCATAAATTAAAGCTTGTGCATCATTTATGGTCTGAATGACCTGGGCGTTTTGCCCCTTTGTTTTTTGCGGCTCAGGATTATATAAATTATATAATTCATCAATATCTTCTTCTGTTAATACTTTATTTTTGAAATCTTTCAATTGTTTAACTTGTGATTTAGTTTTTCCCTTTGCATATTCATTATTTTTAATTTTGTCTTTAATTTTAGAAATTATTTTATCATGATATTTCAAAATTTCATTTTTATAATAATGATAATAATAATCCATATCATCACCCGTTATATTTTCATCATATTTTTGGAGATATGCTTTTAATTCATAATAAGTAAGAAAATTTTGATTAAATACTAAATCATCAATTAAAATTTTTAAATCTACATTATCCATTTATATAAAAATAAAATAAATGTTTTAAGGGCGCCCACCTCTTTGATCAAGAATCAAAACCATCATTAACGGTTCCTTTTGTCTCTTCTGTGGCATTTCATTAAAATAAAATTTTAAATTGTATTAAATAAACGGCATACAACATCCATTTTCACAACATACAGCCTTAGTGTGTGCTCCTGTTAATGCAGTCTTACCAATTGTTAAGCGAGTCATCATCCTGTTTTTAAGTTGTAAATTAATATTCTGACCATCAAATATCACTTTATCATTTATTATATCCAAATAATTTTTAGGTGTTAATTGTTTATTTTGTCGTAAACTAACACCTTTCATTTTTTGTGCAATCTTTTTAAAATCACCCCCATCAATTGAACCGTTGAATGATGTATAACACTTGGGGCATAAAGCAACCATGTTATCACCTTGTTTCTCAATTGCTAAACCCAATAACTTCTTCTCATGTGCTTTTTCTTCTGCTTTATTCTTTAATTTAGGTTTAAATTTCTCATCAAAACAAAAGAAATCAAAAGGTGCGAATTTGAAAATGTTTTTATCATAAAATTGTTTATCGGTTACAATTGCTTGAAATGCTTGAGTGTTAGGAAGATTTGGGTCGCCAGCGATTGCCCAATAAGATGAATCAGTATCACCTTCAATGAAATGAAAACGATTAACATCCATGCATTTATACATAAAATCATAAATGAAAACCAAATACCAGTATTTTGCGTTATCTAAAGTGAAGAATGCCTCTTGTAAACATGTATCACATCTATAAAATCTATCTTTGAGCATCACTTGATATGTATCTTCACCTATTTCTCTTATGTTTTTAAACTTATTTGACATACATGCAACGCGTGCCTTCTCTGCATTTATTATTTTAGTCTTTGTGTAATTTTGTGTATTCATTGCATCGTAACCATATGATCCATTAAGCGAAATCTTGCAAAATAAACTTTTTCCTTTATTTCCTTCTAATTCAGCCTTTTGTCTTTCGTTCATAAATTTGTTCGCAAATTCATTAAAACAAGTGTTTTTAGTAAATGTTAAAATTGATTGAATATCATCGATGATAAAATTAAACCTGTCTATTAGATACCAAAGATAATAAGAAGAAAATGGTTGATATTGGTTGTGTGTTGATGCTAACTGAGTTAATTTTCTCTGTTTCTGGTCAACTGGTAGATTGTTTGATTTCATGTAATTATACATAAAACTACCAATTGTTTTTTCATCTGTGATAATATCTAAGTTTCTTATTATCGGTAAAAAGTTTATGTAATCATTAATGTATTTTTCATCAATGTGACCCTTTACTTCAGCCACGAATAAAGTATTTTTCTTCTTAATAATTCCTAATGCTTTTGCTTTCTTTGTTGCTGTATCACAAATGATAACACCATTCAATCTTCCTGGCATATACATTTTATGGTCAGTATATTGAATGAAATCATGAGGATTAGATGAAAATGATGAAGGGTATATTGAATGAAATCATGAGGATTAGATGAAAATGATGAAGGATATAATGAATTAAAATCAACACCAACGAAATGAGTCATAATGTTGGTGGTGTCCTCATTTGATACAGTTTTAGTTTCTGGACTATATGAAAGTTTATTAATGTGCGTGATTCCTTTAAGATTTACTCTATGTTGAACATTTGATAGACCACCAGTAATTCCATTACGGAGAATGTGATAAGCTTCAACTGAATCTAAAGTCATTGGTAAATTATTTTTTAATGCATAATTTCTTAAATTGATTCTTAAACGTTGAACATCTTCATCTTTATTTGATTTTACGACATTGCAATAACAACACATTAACTGACAATTTTCTTTGGTATGTGGTTTTTCATTATCGATTCTATCCAATGTTGGTTTATTTGCATATGTAAACGCTTTACCACACATTTTGCATTTAGATGAAAGGATTAAATCGTGATAGTATTGAAAATCATCCATTGAAACATTATTTTTAGTATCTCTTTCCGCTTTTTCATCTTGTTTCTTATATGATTCAATTTTATATTTCCAATACTTTTTCGTTAATTCAAAACTTGATTCTATCTCTTCCTCAAGATATTTTTCATTAGGATTAAAGTCTTTATATGCTAAAGCGTAACGAATCATTGAAGCATTCGATGATAAAGAAAGATTATGAAGCATATCAATTTTATAAACAAATGTTTCTTCAATAATTTTATCGATTGGGTCAATCATAATTTCAACATCTTTATTGCAATAATGAATAAAATATTCTAATCTATTCTTAAAGTTTTTAGCATCATTGAGATATATTTGATAATCACTATCTGATATAGTTTCTTGAGTTAATGCTGAATAAAATGAATCTTGAGTGAATGGTTCCACTTTATATAATTCTTCTTCGTAATTTTCCCACGTGATGAATTGATAAGGGAAAAAGGATTTAACACGTGTTTTATTGTTTCCGAAATCTTGAGTGAATTGGTCTAATGTCCCACCCGCTATATAATTTCTGATGTCAATAAATCTTAATTCATATGGAGCGTTTGTTTTCTTTACAATGATTTGCTTAAATTGTGAAGATGAACCCAGCATTGATTTTATTTTCCATTTTGCAGTGTTTAAATCACGAAGAATTAAATTTAAATCAAACTTTCCCGAATTAAAACCTATGATATTCACTTTATTGAATTCCTCATCTAGAAGTTCTTTAAATGCTTCCTTCTGTTTTTCATTTAATGTATGGGACAAAGTCCCCGCCGTTTGCGACTTCAATAATTCTTGTATTGACTCATATTTGATTTAGCAACTAATGAACAGGTTGAAAATAAAAACTCAATCCAATCAGAAATAAAAGAATCACTCGAAGTTAAGCAAAAATTCCTCGTATATGTTTTATCGTTTAATTTAACCGTTGATGATACCATGAATGGTTTTAAGTAAGCGTTCAAAGTTGCACACTCAGAAAGTTGTAATTCTTCTTTAGTCTCTAATGTTTCGAAGTCAAAAGTAATATAATATCTTGTCGGTTGATAATATTCCTGCAAATTATGAGCTAATAACCACTGATATATCTTCTGTTTCGTAATATGTGGTGCATATGGTTGCTGTGTCTTTTGCAACTGAACGTCTTGAATTAATCTCCCATTATTTTCTTTACATTTCTCACAATGCTTTAAAAATCTTCTTTGGTTTTTCCTTTCTGGATCATCACGGATAGAATAAACTTCTTCTTTACAATATGGACAAACTTTATAGCCGGTGGGTGCTTCAACGTCTGTTATTCTGTCAGCGTGAAGTTTTCCACATGGACTCTGTGTTAATAAAATATTTACTGTTTCAAATTCTGGATCTATCATTATTGATTCCACTAATGGAAAGTCTACCTTATTTATGTCCACGTCTTCTGGTTGAGGATCACAATAATAGAAATCAATATTAACATTTAACATTCTCGCTAATCTCTCACTTTCTGATGAAATGTCAAACCCTTCATATACATCTAATGCTTCATTTAAATAGCTTCTACGAGTTTTAGGATTAGCACCATCAGGAATGTTATAGAAGCGTTTAAATAACCTTCTACCTTCTGCTCTAATTTGATTATCATTCATTTTAGCTGTTCCGTTTTTGTTCATTTATGTAAGAATAAAAAATTAAAAAATAAACTTTATTTTTTAAAGCCCATAAAATGAATTAAGAACACATAAATTTTTATCATCTGCGACGTGACAAATACATTTTAATTTACTCAAGAATGCGTACCCCGATACATTAAATCTAATTCCTGTCTTATTTAATTTCACAACTTTGAAAAGGAATGTATGAATAGCTATAAAATGATGAGAAGATGTTTTATGGGTTGCTTCCATTTTTTCTGAAATAAATGAATAAATATAATGCTTATATGTTTTCATATCTTTTATGTTCTTAATAACGAATGGTATAGACCTTTCCACTTCGTCTTCCTTCGGTGCTGTTCTTTCATATGAAACATTATTGGTATCTTCAATAATGAAACCACAATCACATAAAATTTTATAGGTTCCAATGGTTTCTTTTGATATTTTATCTAATAAATCAAAAACTTTATCAACACCTGTGCATTTATTTAAATAATAATTTGTGTAAATATCATGATCTTCTTTCTTAATCGTATTAGTTGCATATGTCACGTTTTTTAGTGCTTTTTTGAATTTTTCGGAATCTAAAGGTGGTGAAAGTAGGATACAGGGGTATTCTTCATTATCAATAAATTGTAACTTATGTTTACGAATAAATTTAGTTCCTTCTTCTGAAAGTGTTTCGTCTATTTCACCATCTAATAAATTTTGTGTTGATTCTGAGACATAATTTTTATATCTTTCTTCATGAGATTTCTGAACTTCTGATTCTGAAGCTGGGATATTCATTAAACCCTCTACTTCATTTTCATTATATTTTTCAACTTCTCTTAATTCCTTAATTTTTTCATCTATTTCATCTCTTATTTTTTTCAGTCTTTCAATTTCATCGTATTCATCATCTTTAATCCGTTCTTCATAATATTCAGGGAAAACATCAGGTTCTTTAGGTTTTTCTTCTTCAGATGTGGGATATAAGAAATTTATAACATCATCTTTATTCATTTTTCCATCATAATCAAAATCATTTAAGAACTCCGCGAATTTTTTACAATTTCTTAAATAATATTTATCAACTTCATAACCCGCCTCCTCTAATATATTTTTTATTTCCTCGTTTGTGAATCCCAATTTTTTAACGTTGTTAGTTTTGACGCTCATTTTCATACATAATAAAAAATAATAAACATAACTAAGTTTCTAATTTCTTTTTACTCGTTTATGAGGTCTTTGATTATGACTCCATTGATTCCATTCAGGATTTAAACAATGTTTAATTAATCGCGGAATATCTGACATCATCTATATATATAGCTTCTTTTATAAAAGATGAAAAAATAAATTATTTTAAAATTAATGTTAATTTTTTTAAAATGTGTTTATTTCATTATGTATGGGTTGAGTGTAAATGTCTTACAATTTTGAAAATTTTTAAATCTTGATTTATTCAAAAACGTAAGAATAAAAACCGTAAGAATCATACATTTTTTACTTCATATGTTAAAAAAATGATACAAAATCGCTCGATATTGTATGAATTCTTACGTTTACAAAAAAAGTCACATAACCCGTCATATATACTACTACTCCACTTCAAAGTTTATTGCTCAAACAAACTGTTCTTTTAATAGTAACAGCGCTCATTGTTTAAAATAAAATAACTTATCATGCAAATAAATGCCAGAAACGTGAAAGGAGCACTTTGAAGATTAAAATCAAATCTATATTTACACTAAATAAAAATGTTTAGTATATTGGAAATTAATTTGAGAAAGTTCTTCATAGGAATCAGGTGATTTAGAGTTTTTTTCAGAAGAATCGCATTTGAATGTTTGGTAGAATGATAAAATGCTACTTTCATAAATCGGATTTTCAGTAATTAAAGGAGAGCCAGATGTTGAAGATATATAGTTTCTCTGTTCGATGTATGAATTCTTAATTGTGACTGAAGAACGAACAGCGCAAAATAAATAGTGTTTATCATTTTGATCATTTTTGTCAAAAAAGCAGTTTTCAAAAATAGAATTTTGAGTTTGGTAGAAATAAATCAAGCCAGCAGATTTAGTGTTCTGATTCAGTTTTACAAAATTAGAATATTGAACTGTTATTGGAGCTGAATTAAAAGTTAAACTTTGATGAGTTGATAATAATCTATAAAAATTCGAAAAATTGATGATAGATTGGGAATTTATATAATGACACGAACAAGATGATTGTTCATTAGCAGTTAAACTCGTCATATTCGTAGAAGAAAGTACAAATAAACCATTTTTAATGTAAAATGTTGAATATCCTAAATACGTTCGGCCACAGTCATATATTGATGATTCAATAATATAATTTTTGGATTGTGAATCATTTACTTGGCAATATGAAAAATGCCCATTAAAATTTTCGTTGGATGATAATCTACATTTTATGGCGCAGAATCTTCTTTGAATAACTTCTGAACTTCCATTACCAACAAATTGTAAAGCTGCACCGTTTATTTTGCTGTAACAATTGTAAAATATACAATTAGAATGTAGTAATTTAGCATCAATGACTGATATGAATTCAATTGGATGATGTTCTAAAAATGATATAAATTTGCGATTAAAAATGAAGCATTCGTTTCGAGAATTAAAATTAATTGTGATATTTTTCTTATCAACGTAATCTCCGTCATTGATTGTGGTAAAGTATTGATTCCATACTTCTCTTGGAATGCCTGAATAGCGGAACTTGTTAAATAATGTGAAGAAAACTGAGATAATTTATAAAATGAAAAATTGATGTTTTGAAAAGGATCTATCGTCAAAAAGTTTAACAAATGTGACCAAGTTAAACAATTCGATTGTGATGAGTGTCGGCATTTTGTTTTCATTAACAATTCTTTATAGAAAATTCTTTCTGAACCTTTCAAAAAAATTGAGAAAGCTCTTAAATCTGATCAGAATTTAAATTCAATTGGATATCAATTTTTCAGAATGGAGAAAGAAGCTGATTTTGGGAGAACACGAAGAATATGGTATATTGCCGGAGTTGTTGCAGGAAACTTATTAAGTTACTATCTACGAGGCCTCTTTTATACTAGAAAGTCACAAATTTGGAATGGATGCCCTTTTATTATATTTAAACGACCATGGATGGGTACTCTCGTAATGACAATAGGTATTTCGCTTTGTACACTTGTTTATTATATCAAAACATTGTTAGATCCAAAAAATCATCCAAAATTTTCTCATACACCCACTTACATCTATCTATTCATTGCTTTAATAGCATTTTTAGACATATTTATTTCAATAGTTCCATCATATACAATTTCCGAAAATTTAGGTCCATTTTCAGTTGCAACTCGATATTTTGATCTATTATTCATCATTATTATACAGAATGTATTCATGACGCCAATTCGTTATGCATATCAATGGGTTTCTCTAGGAATTGTTGCATTTGGAATTGTTTTTGTTGCAGTTGGAGTCTTTAAGAATAAAGAAACAAGACTAAAGCTATTACCTTCTTTGTTACAATTAGCTTCACAGCTGTTTATTTCAATTAGAACTGTTTTGATCCAAAAAGTTTCGCATGAAAATGATATAAATCCTTGGTTTTTAACTGGATTCGATGGAATCTTTGGATTCCTCATTGTTCTCTTCGGAGGATATCCTTTAGCATATTTCCTACCCGAAAAATCATTCTCTTCTCTTCATGAAAACCTTTGTTCTTCTGCTTTATTGACTTTTCATTCGATTTCAATCATTATTTTATTTTTGATTTATATTCCAATAACATGCATATATAATGCATCTATCACGGGAACAATCACTACTACTAATGCTGTAGGATACACGATTGTTGAGATGATTTGTGGATCAATAAATTGGATTATAGATTTGATAATTTTTCATGCTTTCAATGGAAAGTTCATTCTGGAAGCAGATAAAAAGTTTGGCGTTGAATGAGATAGTTTTAGCTATTTCAGATTGTTAGGATCATTGACATTCCTTCTTGGAGGAGCCATATATTTGAAAATAATCAAATTCCCGTGCTTTAGCTATCCTGCACCTTCTGTAACAAAAATTAGTATGTCTGAATCTGCCTTCGAGATGAATTATAACGTAGCAATTAATGTTTAGAAACAACAATCATAATAATGATTGAAAATTGTTTGTTGGTTTGGAAATCCAAAATTAAATTTATATGAATTTAGTTATATCTAGGGATTTTTAAATCCTTTTATCCATAAACTTGAATACTTTCCTTATGTCATTATTTTTTTATATACTAATAAAGAATATCATGTAGTGAGTCTGCAAAAAGATTTTAACTTCTGATGTGGAATACGTAGAGTATACAATATGATAAACTGTTGAGTTGACTCCGGTGATTGTTGGATAAGATCTGAATTCGAGAACACGCATGTCACTGTGATTGCTTGGAGTTGTGAATGCTGTGATCGGTGTGGATGAGAATGCAAAGAAATGAGCTAAGGAGTAATCTTGAGCTGTCATGTTTCCTGATTTATCATCTTCTTCAACGAGACTGAATTTTTATACGTGTGTTGGAGTGGCAACAATGACATCGTTTGTGGCATAATATGAAACTACGTTATAATAGCATAAAACTGATACTTTGGCAAAATGATTTTTCATTATGACTTGGTTTGAGGGTAATTTCAAAAGATTCTTATATACGAAAAAAGGAGATTTGACAGAATGTCAAATCTCCTCAAAAAGTGACAGTTTACATGGCAAACAATTGCGAGCAATTTTTAGCCATTTTGGCTGAGAACTAGGGTCTGCGAGGTACATAGATAGAATCACTACCTCGCAGACTCTAGTTCTCTATATGGCGCCGAGAAATTTTGGTGAAATGTCGTCGCATTTCACCAAAATTTTCTCGACGCCATAGGATGAATTGGAGGGTGTGAGATACTATTACATATAATAGTACTCACACCCTCCAAAACCTCGAAAATCTCAAAATTTCCTGCAATTATCATCAACTTTGCATAGCACAATCGACCAAAAATTCATTCAATTGTCCTTCTTCTCAATATTTCTTAACTCTTTCGATTTCTTTCAAAATATCTTTCAATAATCTTTCAATGATAAATATTATACAAAAACGATTAGTATGAAACTTTTTTGCATTTTAAAAATATTTTATATTTCTGTTTTTATTTCAATTTTTATATTTTTATTTTCCTTTTTTTTAGATGAAACTTATTTGTTTACCAATATTCCTTATCTTATAAATTTTTTCAATTGAATACTACAATAATTTTATCTCTCCTTTATTAAATTTTCGATTTTTATGTTAATTCTAATTCTTTGCACTATTTCTTGTCTAAATCTTCTAAAATTTTTATTTTAATTTAATTTGACACATAATCATCCTTTTAATTTTCGATTCAAATCCTTATCCTCTTCATTATTTTTCAATAATTTTTTTCATCGTAATTTGTAAAATTCGTTCTTTTTTAGCTGTTTAAATAATCCAAAACCATGATATTTATTATTGTTAATTATTCCTAATCATCTTTTTTCCATTATTTTAATTTTTATCTGAACCATTTAAATTAATTTTGTTAAGAATATTTTTTCAATATAGACTTCTGAAATAATTAAATTATTCTCAAATTCTCACAAATTATTTCATTTCAAATTTGTTTAAAATGAATTTGTACACCTTAGTTGATTCAGCTTGGCTTGAAACAGCTCTAGCACAGATTCAAAGGCGCACACCGTTAGCCATTGTTCTCACAAATGTTCCACTAGTCAACAACACTATTCGTTTATCAATTAACAAGATAACATTTTACACAGCTCTCTTATGTAATAGACTAATTACTATTGAAGAGTACTTACATCATACATACAAACTTCAAGAGTTTACTACTTTCTACATTAAATATAATAATCGACTCTACGAGTGTTCATCCATTTTGAAACACAGAGATGACACTCTCCTTACCGATTATTTGATATTACAAAGTTCAAACGACTCTCGTATACAGGACGAACCCTCATCAGCCAGCACTCCTCTACAACGCCAGCTTTCATCAGCCAGCACTACCAACTCTGTTCCACAGCAACAGCTCTCAACAGCCAACGCTCCTCTACAAAGCCCACTTTCTGCCAACACCCCGCCACAACGCCAGCTCTCTGCCAACGCTCCTCTTCAACGCCAGCTTTCATTAGCCAGCAGTACCAACACTCCCCCACAGCAACAACTCTCTGCCAATACTCCTCTTCAACGCCAGCTCTCTGCCAATACTCCTCTTCAACGCCAGCTCTCTGCCAACACTCTTCCACAGCAACAACTCTCTGCCAACACTCCTCTTCAACGCCAACTCTCTGCCAATACTCCTCTTCAACGCCAGCTCTCTGCCAACACCTCGGCACAGCAACAACTCTCTGCCAACACTCCCCCACAGCAACAGCTCTCTGCCAATACTCAGCCTCAGCCTCACCCATCTGTGTCTATTCCCCTTAAGCGCGGGAGACCCAAAGTTAATGTACCAAAAGATCTTAAGGTAACTATTAGAAGTTAGTATGGGTTAGTTGGGTACGGAGGCACTGCGCGCCTCCTTACCCATTATATGTGAATTTGACACTTTACGAAACCGTTAACGTATATTTTACAACATGAACGCAAAAACTAACTTAACCTTAAATATTTACAAAACCACCAACCATTTCACCTCACTAACGAACTCACTAATGAAAAAATAAACGTTCTCATAAATTTTCTTCAATATCTTCATCGTCAATGTTAACTCTATTGTAGTCATACTTGAAGTCATAAAGTTTCTCAAGTTTTGAAATGCATAGTCTTGTTAACTTACCTTCATCATCATAAGTTTTTATAAAACTACCATGACAATCTTTATAAACAGTCAATGTATAATCTACTGGTCTAGGATGAAGTGTAAAGAACATGTTATACTCAGGAAGGAAGAATAAATGTTTAAATGTATGTTTGTTATATGTTTTGATTTGTATGAGTTGCTTTTGTTCTGTCATTTATATAAAAATAAAATAAAAAATAATTTTAAAAAAATAAACTTAAAAATAAATGATATCACCACCCTCACACGTATGAAAACATAGCACAAAAATAAATTTAGGGTAGATGGGTATATCTAACCCGATTTCTAACCCGATTTCTATCCTGTTGAATTCATTGCTTTATAACTCTCTTCCTTGGTTTCTTTTTAGTTGCTTTCTTAACATCTGTCTCCAACTTGACTGTCTTTCTTCTTCGGCCGTAATGATACCAGTTACTTCCACCAGTCAATGGGTCAAATGGTCTTTCGTAAGGGTTTCCATACATTCCATAGGGACCATACGGAAGAACTACTGGTGGAGAAGAAACATTTTCTTTAGTTCCATCGAATCTATTTAAATGCATTGTTTCACCTTTCATCTGGTCATTAAAGTCTTTTGCGTGTTTTGCAAACTCATCGTCCTTTCCTAAAGCATTTTCTGACTCAGTCGCAACCAAATTGGATGCTTTATTTATGAGCCCTATTTTATTTAATCTTAACTTCTTTGCAACCCAGCCTCCAATCTTCCCTTTATTTGCATCTAATGTCTTCGAAACCCTTCCTCCACTCATTTTATTTACTGCGTCATAAGCTCCAAGTGCTTTTGCTCCAAATGCTAATGCTTTTGTTCCCATTGCGCCTAAAGCTGCCCAAGCTACCATTTACACCATATTAAAATCATCTCTCTTCAATATTATCTCATAAAAGTTCTCGTTACTGGAGAAAGTCAATGAAACATAAGCGTTCTCACGGGCTTCGCCCTCACCGCTTTGCGGTCTATCTAACTTCTTTCTTATTTCATCTATACGCTTCAAAATGTCTGAACAATTGCTAACATCTTCTACAACAGTTATTTCATCATGAATGACCTTCAAGAACAAGTTCATTTAATATGCTATTAAAATCATCTCAATAATGAGTCCATCCTTTCCATCTTTAGGTAGCACAACATCTTTCATTGAAGAAGGTTCGACAAGTCTTATGTTAAACTTACTGACAAAGTTTGTTATACTATAATGCTTCGGCGGCGAATACATGTAGTTTGAAAGACATAATATAGATTCTTCAGCAAATTCACTTATACTGGATTTTATAACAATGTTTTCACGAGACCAAATGCCACCAATTGAAACTTGTAAGCAATCCTGCTGAACCTTCTACTGTAAACGTCGATGGTAACATTCCACGAAGGTCATCTATTGACATCGTTGAGTCACTGAATTTAAAGATTTTCTTAAAGCAATCGTCATTATATAACCATGCAATAGCTTTGAAGTTTTCATTCGAATATACATCTGCTTCATTAAATGTAAAACCTGACTTCTTTGCAGAGACGACTTTAAAATCTATTGAGTTTGTTTCAAAATTATATGCTATGGTAACTTCTGAAGGTAATGGATGTCCTTCCGCAGTAAGTTGTTCTCTCACTACCGTTTGAAGCTTTGTGTTAAAAACTTTCATGTCATCTCCTGTGTCTAGGTTCACATACACAGCAACAGGAAAACTATCTTGCTTCTTTGTTTCATCATTATACCTCAAAACATTAAAGTTCTTCAATAATATTGTTCTTCCTACTGGAATACTTCTAACTTGTCTTATTTCAATAGCTTTCTCACCTCCTACATACTCTACCCAGTGTCTTGGATATTCATAAGTATACTGACTTTCTTGAATTTTGGTTGGTTTCATCATAACGTGTTCATAGTATATCTTTATACTCTTGTCAGTTAGACTCGGTGCTATGTTCTGAATATTTCTGACTTGCATTTTTAATGGAGATAAAATGAAGCATTTAATACATGACGTAGATGAAGACATGAATGAAACTACAGACAAACTTAACTCTTCTCTTATTCTTCCTTTCAGTAAGGACTATGCGTTCTGTTCAAATGGTGTTTATTTCTATTGTGGAAAGATGGGGTCAGGAAAGACATTTAACCTCATTCGTTGTATACTCATAACAGAGCGTTTAGGAAATGACTCATATTATGACCAAATCATTATATCAGCAACTTCAGACTCTATGGACTCAACAGCGAAAACATTCATGTCAAAAGTTCAAGCCTCAGTCGTTAAAGTTCCAGATAGCAAACTCATTGAATTTCTTCAACGTTACATTCGACGTAAGAGAAAATATTATGCCATCGTAGAGTTCATACAGTCAGGAATGCAAAAGACCTCGGAAGAAATGGAAAGAATTATTGACAAACACCACTTACGTTAGTACTCAGGAGTTTACGATATGAAACGACTGACAAACTACATTCTATCAAAACTTTCAAAATACCCCTTCAAAAAGTATCCTTCAAACACTCTGCTCGTTTGTGACGACTTCGCTGGAAAAGGTTTAGTGTCAAAGCCTGACTCACCATTAGCTAACGTCATTACTAAAGTCAGACATTACCACTTAACTGTAGCAATACTTATGCAAACATAGCGTTTTCTTGCTTTAAACATAAAACGTCTCATAACTGACTTCGTTATCTTTCAAGGTTTCTCACGTTATGATATTGAACTCATTTGGAAACAGTCAGGTATAACATTACCTTTTGAAGAAATTTGGGAAGCATATAAGTCTCTCATCTCTCCTCGTTCATACCTTGAGATTCATATCATGACTAATACCATTAAAGTTAAAAATATTCCATGGGAACGACCAACATTGTTTTAAAGTTTAACCTTCAATTGACTGATGGTAAACAAATTCCATGCATCTCTGTCGCCATTTCTGTTAATATTTTTGCTGTCATTCATATCATCCACTTCCCCATCCGTTAGCTTTTGAGGATATGTGTTAGAATAGCTGTTCTTAAATGAAGGCTTTTCACCTTGAGAGCATAAACTCTATAACTTTCTGCATACTTTATGTTTGAACCTCCTGAGCCATCATTGACATAAATTTTTATAGGCTTCCACCCTTTGTTCATGTTCCTGCTTCTTCCCTTAGCTCTTTTGTTCAGTAGTCCTACATCTTTATACACAGCACCTGTCTCAGTGAATTCAACAATATTTTCATTCGTTAGCTTTACATTCAAACCCTTGTCGAGTATATTGTTCATTTCATACATATAAAAGGTTTTTATTCTATATGAAATAAGAAGCAAATCCATCTTAGCTGGTGCCGTTAATGTTCCAATTGAACCAACATCAAATGTTGACTCACGAATGACAAACAATATTGTCATAAAGAACTATAGTTCAGAGTGTTTGAAAGAAAAAGAACCAGAACTTAAGTCGGTGAATTTAAACTCAGCTTCAAGTGCAAACGCTAACGCTACATCAGATGTTAAGTTAGAGTATCCACCACTGGACCAAATTCTTTCAAGAGAAGCCAACGACAACCCTTACACAAATGTTCAAACAAATCCTTCAGATAACGTAGACCATTACCTTCTTCAGTTATACCAAACAATTTTACTCAAAGACGATAAGAAGCTTTTGACAAATCTTATAAGTAAGAACCAAATAATTCTAACAAAGGAGGACCTTGAAAATGTTATCTCACGAATAACAGGGAAACAATGTGTCATTGACTATCTCGACCCTGAAATCGAATGCTGCGGTCAAACTCCACTATTCATGAAAATAGGTAACATCCGCATCATTGAAACACCAGGAACTACAGGAGTTGAGTTTAAGTATAAATATTCGAACGAGTATACAAAACTTTCAACAGAATATAAACTTTGTTTGAAATATGTTTTAGTAAATTAAAGCAGTCAGGAGGGCTCTTTGAGCCCATCTTGGCGCTTTGCGCCGTCAGTCAAAAAAAAATTTCAAGTTAGCAATTTGTAATATCTATCCAAAACTTCTTCAACAGTATCGAACTCATCTTCATAATGCAAACCTAATCTTATTGACTTGGTGCAGTTTTCACTAACACAATATTTTTCTGTTCTCTTGACTGACATAACTAACTCATTTGTTTCATCAAACAGCAACAACCAAAGTTCATGACCTAATACATAACATTCATACTTTATATTTTTAGCTCTGAGTTCTCTTGTAAGCTGATGCATTTAATATTATCTAAAAAGTCTACTTCAACAGTCATTCGCACTGGTGCCTTCAGTTCTACAGGCTCTCCTTGAAAGTCAACAAGTCTGAATTGCATATCTTTCAAATTATGAGGACTAATGCGAACCCATTTACCTAAATGAGTTGCTATGACAGGAACGTTTGGAATGAACATTGAATTTACTTCATAACAGAAAGACTTATATTCTACTGAACCTTTACTATTAACTCCTGAAATACCTGTGACATTAGCTATTTTTGACTCAATGTACAAACAATTACCATAACATACGTATGGAACAGATTTCATCTCAATCGTTTTGTCAACACTTTTCAAAGGAAATGTCATATGGTATGCTCCCAGAAGCAATTGAACTCTATGACTCATTCTTGGTATCTTAAACTCTTTCTCGCTGCTGAACTTCAATGTTCCCTCAGAAGAGAGTTCGACATCTATGTTGTCAATAGTTTCTTCATTTATGAGAGTATCTATGACTCCAGCAATTTTATCTATTCTATACCCAACTCTGTTAGGAAATGTTACAACACTTCTTTTGTCATCTATTTCAATCTCTATGAAATCTGTTTCATCTGTTATGACAAAAGTTGCGATAGTATTGAAGTCAACAACTCTGAAAGCAAGCGCTTCATTCTGAAGACCTAAGTTTGTTTGTAGTTTTACTGTCCCGTATTCGTTCGGGTCTGTACTTTGTAAATAGAACAACATTTTATTCTTATTAAAATATGAGTATTGCTGCATATGCGTATGAAACAAATGAAGCAAGAAGAGCACATGAAATAGTAAATGAAAACTCAACTTTAACAGTGGAAGGCAATGATTTAGTCATTGACGATGGAAAAACTAAAAAAGTCATTGATTTCGATACTTTTAACACTTATGACCCATTCATTACAACAAGCAAGGTTCCCATCATAAATGATGGAACGGTGCAATATATAAATTCAACAGTAGATGCCTCATTAGTGAAAGTACTAAATGTTCTCATTGAATTGTTAAAGAGCTTTCGATTTGACGACAACATTAAATGCCTAAAGAATTTAGTCATGAATGAGAAACAAATTCTCGGCGTTGCTGGTAGCAGTAATGATGTACACCTTATGACATTAGAATATTATAACGAACATAAAGATGAACTGAAAGGAGAGAAGGGTGACACTGGAGCTCAAGGACCACAAGGACCACAAGGAATACAAGGAATACAAGGAATACAAGGACCTCAAGGCGAAAACGGTTTGGATGGTGAAGATGGAAAGGATGGAAAAACTGCTAAATCATGGATATGGAACCTTATAAATACTGGTTTAACAGCTGCTTCATATGGAGTTCTTCAATACCAAATCGGAAAGATATGGGCAGTACTTGGTGAAGAAGCTTTAGATGACGTTAAAAATGCTTTGAACTTCATTTCAAATGGTTCGGATACTATTAAAACTTTATCTGGTTGGATGCAAGAAACAAGGAGTCAAATAGATACTGTAAGACGTATAGCAAACAATGCACGTACGGGATTGGATACTTTACGAGAAGCACAAAATACACTAAAGGAAGCAAATGATATTCTTGGCTCAGTATCAGACATGCATGAAGATTGGCTTAAAGGTATTGACAAATCTTTAAAAAATCACAGTCAGTCTATTGCTGACTACAAGAAAAGTATAGATTTTTTACATAGTGCTATGGACGTACATGATGGAAGCATAAGGAACTTACTTAATGCTAACAATAACTTACCAGGAACTATTAAAGCATTTATAAAGTCCTTTGTAAAACCTGGTGCTCTAACATTTAGGTCTTTGAGAGCAAGAGCATTGAAGTCAAGAGATGCAGAAACTCCAACAGAACCTACAGAAGGAACTGAAACAACAGAAACTCCAGAAGAACCACCAAAACCAACAGCTAATGAAATATTGTTCGAATATTTTCCAAGGTACTCTGTTCTCATTGCATACATTCAAGAAATACTTAAGAAAGCAGACTTGACTTTAGGAGATGATGAAAGTTCTGTATATCTTTCGTTCCAGTTTCAAATAGCAGAACTTTTGAGACAGATATGCTTAACGTATGACAACATCTCTGATTTCACAAGATATGATGACGACCATGACCCCGAACACGGTGAAGAAGAAGTTTTAACACAAAGTCTCATTATTGACACCGAAGATGGTGAAGTGGATGTTCTTCAAGAGCTGAAGAAAAATACTTCTTCGGGAGGTGGTGGTAGGCATGAACTTGAAATAAATGAGATAGAAGAGAAATTAGCCGAAAAAGCAGATAAAAACCATGTTCATTATATAAGTTCAGACGAACAAATTATAACGGACTACCACGGATATTTAATACAGGATGAACAAATAAGCACTGAAGATATTAATGAAAGAAGATATAAATTCATTCGTGCTAAAGGTTATGACATACACTGTACTGTACAGTATGACACAGGTAAAGCACCAGAAGCATTTGGTTATAACAATGAAATTTATGCTTCATACTTCTTTGTTAACGGTGTATTAGTTGAACCAAGATTTACATTGAGAGTTAAGACAAAAATAACTTTTGAAGATGCTATTAAAAGTAAAGCTGACAAAGATGAACTTGACGCAACGAACAAAGTTTTGAAATCTCATAAACACAATATCTCCGATATAAATGAACTTCAAGCTACATTAAATAGTAAAGCTGACAAGAACCATACACATGAATCCTTCACTACTGTTAGAGCAGACGACATAATATTGAACTATACCCTTGGTTCAAGTGCACCTTTAGAGAATCCAAGTACAAGCGTAAAAGATACTCTTAATAGTTTAAATAGTAAATGTATGAACATTGAAGGTCATGTCAGAAACTTTGAAACATATAAACTACCAGCAATGTTAGATAAGAAAGCAGATAAAGAACATACACATAACTCCTTCTCAACTGTTGCTTTAGAAAGTATTGAAGGAACGGTTGGCGGAACTGGTGGGGATGCATTATATTATAAACCTCCTAACTTTCCACAAGGTTTAACATCGAATGAAGACATAACAACGAAGAAAGAAATTAGCTGTAAAAATGTTTATGTCATGGATGATGAAAATAGTGTTAAATTCACTGCTCAAGATTTATATGATAAGAAAGCAGACAAAACAGAGCTTCAAACATTAAAGACTGAAATACTTCAAACATTATATCCTGTTGGTTCTTTATATACATCAATGAACTCAACAAATCCAGCAACAGTTCTGGGTTTTGGTACATGGCAGCAGATTGTAGATAAATTCTTATACTGTGCTAACTCTTCAAAGCAAACAGGAGGTTCGAAGAAAATTTTAGAAGCAAACTTACCTGCGCACACTCATACAGGAACTACAAACTTTTCTGGCGACCATAGCCACTCATTAAGAGACCACCCATTATACAACTCAGACTATAAAGCTGGCAATGATGTTTTATCTCCATCTTATAACAATTCAGCAAAAAAGACTTTTCGACCAACTGAACCAGGAGGAAATCATATCCATACTTTCACAACAAATCCAACAAGCTCGGGTGAAGATTATATGCCACCATTTATGACTGTATTCGCATGGTACCGCGTTCAATGAACGCGCTTGAGCCTGTTTTGCAGGCTTACCGTACAGCTTAAAATC